CACAGCTATATCATCTGCGTATGCCAGTACCCGTACTTCAGCTTCTTGTAGTTTGTACCCCACTATGTTATTGCTTTTCATGACTTTTTGGCAAAATGACTCTATAAAAATTGAAAATAGGAGAGAAGACAAAGGGCAGCCTTGTCGTACAGAACGTCTGACATTAATTCGTTTCCCAAGAACTTTGTTGATGATTAGCCGAGTTTTACATCCAGTATATGCCATTCGAACTGTATCTCGAATTACTTTGCCAACATTGACATAGTCTAACAAAAGAAAAAGAATTTCGTGCGTTACTCGATCAAATGCTTTTTCTAAATCTATCTGGATCATCGCGATGTGATCATTTGTGGCATCGCAGCACTCCAATACACTTCGTGCCTTGTGAATGTTTGTGAATATAGTGCGCCTTTTGATCCCACATGTCTGGTGGTCGCCTACAATGTTATTAATCACTGTCTGCAGTCTCCTTGCTAGCACTTTCATCAAAATCTTGTAGTCGATATTTGAGAGACTGATTGGCCTGTACGATTTCACTTCACGTAATTTAACTGCGTCCTCTGTTTTTGGAATTAGAATAGTATGAGATAGCAGAAAAGAAGGTGGCAAAGTCTTTATGTCTAAGGCTTCGTTAAAAACCGCTGCCAGGATCGGTGCTAGTTCGTGTTTGAATTCCTTATAAAATGCGGCTGTTAAGCCATCAGGTCCTGGGGACTTTCCCAAATGGAGGGCAATGATTGCTTTTGTCACTTCCGGTTCAGAAATAGGACATTCTAGGCTGTCTTTCCTGCAGTCCTCAACCTTTGGCATTAATTTTAAAAATTCATTCTTGAATTCATCTACATTTACTTTACATTTATCAAATAAAGTGGTGTAGTACTCGTTGAAAGCATCCTCTATATATCTTTGTTCACTTGTAACGTCACCCATGTATTCAATCTGATGTATAACATTCCGCTGAGCGTTTCGTTTTTCAAGACCAAGCATTCTTTTGGTCGGTTTCTCTCCTACGGTTATTTTCTCTGCCCTTGCCCTTATTTGTGCGCCACGATACTTCTCCTCATCAATTTGTTCCAATTTGGACTTTACTGACCTTATATCATTTGTGAATAAGCCTGGCGTTTTGCTGTCCTCTGCTAGCAGTTCTTTGAGATTTAAACGTAGGGTTCTTTCTTCACTCTTTCCGTGTTTTATTACACATGAGCGTTCTATAGCTATCAACTTTATATTCTGTTTAAGTTGTTCCCACTTCACTCCGTATTTTTGGTCTCCACTATCTATGTTTACCAACGCCTCTCGAACACTGTCCATAAATTTTTCATCTTCCAAGAGATTAGAATTCAGCTTCCACGTGTCCCAATTAAATACTGGTCTACGTCTATTCCTTTTACCTATTACAAATGATACTAAGCAATGATCACTAAATGAAATAGGGAGGACATTGTACTCACTGATAATCGGAATTGAATCCAGTGATACGTAGGCCCTATCTAGGCGCGCATGACTGGAGCCTTGGAAATGCGTATACAGTGTTGGTCCTTTACCAATACACTCTGCAACATCCTCAAGGTCTAAGTCAGAAATTAGATTCGTTAACGCGACTGAGCTTGAGTCATTGAAATTGGATGTACTTGTGTTATCATCGGCACTGATCACACAATTAAAATCTCCCATAAGGATGACTATGCGATCGCATTGACAATAGGTACGAATTTCGTCGAATGTTACACACCGTTCATCAACTTTAAGAGGTGCATATAAACAAATCACTCGCCAATTAAGAGAAAAGAAAGTCAAATCACATACAACAAACCTTCCAGATGAGTCAGACGTGACGTTTTGAACACTGGCACCTAAACTATTCCGCACAAAGATCACACACCCTGCCGACCTACCAACTGCATGACTGACGCTGGCGGTGTAGCGTCCGGTGAAACGTTGCAGAAGGCTCTCGGTGGCGTCCACGCTCTCCACTTTGGTTTCCTGAACTGCAATAATGTCCAGGTCTTGGTCCATGGCTAGTCTGTAGAGCTGAGTCTGTTTCTTCCTGGAAGCCAGTCTTCGTACATTGAGCGTCGCTGCTTTCACGAACCCGCTCAGCGACGTGATCGGTGAGCGGGTCCGAGCTGAGAGTCCGGCACGTTCACTTATTGGGCTCTCGTCGTCCAGGGCGGATCCATGTTGTTCACCTTTAGTTTGAGCGGCCATCGTCGCGTTTGAGCGACGACGACCGTTGTCGGGCAGCGTTTCGTTTCTTGCCTCCACTGACCACCTTCCACTGCACTTCCGACTTTACTTGCGTTTCGTCTACTTGAGCACCGTCGTCTGAATCGCGACGGCGTTTTGCAGACGCCGATTCTAATTCCATGTTTAAGGTATCCAGATCACTAGGCAAATCCTCATTTTCGTGTGTTTGTTCACCAAAGAGTGCCGTGAAGCCGAGTTTAGAGGAGTCGAAGCAGCGTTGGCCTGGGACGCCGGCGTTTCAGGGTGCGTTGCTTGCAGCTGCGACGCGGCGTGCATCGCAGGCGCAGGACGCGTCTCTTCGCTAGTCGTTGGGGCCGCTTGACTTCCCATCTTCCGTTCGGCGTTCGTCTCCGGGGCTGAAGAAACTTGCTTGCTTTTCCTCAGCACCGGCGTGTCGTCCGATGTCGTCTGCTTCTGTGGTGTCGCAGGCAAAGACGCTTGTTCAGATTCCTCCTCATCCATGAGAAGTTCACTCTGTTGAGTCTCTGGTCGTCGCCCTACAGCTCGTGCGTATGAACGGTTACACTCATCCTGCTCATGACCGAAAGAGTGGCATTCGCTGCACCTTGGGACCTTACAATCGCGTCGCATATGCCCCGTGCTTCGGCACCGCAAGCACAAAGGCGGTCTTCCCGGCACCACGACTAGTGCCATACTGCTGCCAATACGCACCTGATGGGGCAGTTGATCCACAGAAACGCCATCTCGTAGTTGCATGCGTACTACACGAGTGGTCGATTCAACTCCTTCAAAATCCTCGACTCTCCATCGGTCATCGGTCACCTCCTTGACGTCGCCGTATTCATAGAAGGCACGTCGAATAGCGTCTTTTGTAACATCGAACGCTAGCCAGTGCAATTTCATTTTAACTTCTTGCCGCGTCGGGTCAATGACGAGACATACCCGGTCTTTAACTTTGATAACGCCTGCGTCTGTCAGCGCTTTCTTTGCTTCCACGGTCTTCATGTTCAATAGCCACACGTGCGACATCTGATATGCTCCGATGCCACTTACTTGCTGTATGACGCCTAAATCTTTGAGAGGTTTCCTGATGTCGTCGATGCGGTACGGTCGGCCGCTGACATCGCAGTGTAGAGCTACTGCTCGACGCATCGCTTCACCTGATAGCAACGAAGGCAGAATAATCCTGTAGTCCTTTGGAACGGGAGGAGACGCTGCACCGCGGCCGGCGTCGGCCGCTGTCGCTGCTCGGGATGAGCTTTCCATCCTGCGTCTCCACCAACCGGCGTCCAGAAGCAGAATGACTACGCCACAGCTGCCAATCGGTTTGAGATGACAAACAAGCTGGTTTTGTATTGTTGTCACGCTAAACCTAAATAACATTTTTGTTCACTTTTTCGTTTGGACATAATTTTGACGGCTTTTATTGTTATGTCTAGACGTACTGCTAGACACTCCCGACTGTTCAAATAAAGCGCCTAACCGGAAAATGCAACACGTCACTTCTGTGCGGCGCAGCAGCCGTTTTTGTGTGGGGGTGGCTCGTGCGCCGCGCGGCGAAGCAGTCTCTGCCTTAATGCCAAAAAGTTTGCGCTATTGCCTGTAAACTTCCTGTATATTTTAGCGATGTTGAAGGACTCGGGGTTTCATAAAACGTATATATTAAAGGGCGAACCTGTACCCACAACTCAAAGTGACTATGGTCGTAGAACGTGTCAGTCGAACACCAAAGATGTCCTTCCGCTGCCTTCTTCCTTTTCAAGAGAAGTCCCGAGCACGTGGCGCACTTCAGCCGAGTCCAGCTGGGTGCTCGTGCCATCATCGTCTCTGCGGAACACTAGACGGCGCGCATGTATGTCCCTGTGCGCACGGTGATGGGCGCGTTGTTTGAATGCAGGCAAGATGTCGCGGCAATGTGTTCAATACAGGTCCATCACTAAATTTCCTTTCTTTTTTCATTTTATTTCAGTTAAAGTTAGTTTTATTTGTTTCACACTTTCTCTTTCTTTAATTTTTCAAGAATTACATAAATTTATATTTCATTTAGATCTCCCTATATCTTTTCTTATTTCTTCAGTATTATTGTAATTCTCTCTCGTTCTATCCGATAATTCACCAATCCGTCTAAGTTGGCATGTTCCATCTGCTTATACATTTTACATTCATATGGCAGTATGTACACTTGCAAACCGTCATTGTGCAATTAGCGAGTGGTACGAGCAGCCCTCATTAGAAGAAGACGAATGCACCTGGCTCACGTCTTCTCACTTCCGCTTTGCCAAAATTATCACAAATATTTTTGCTTCCCTACAGAAAATAATTTTCTGATATACTTCCTTGCTACTCATGCTCTCTCTGTTTCTTTTATTATTATTATTATTATTATTATTATTATTGTGAGCGCAACAAGCGAATGACTCTTTACTCTCTTTGATATCATCATCACCTGTACATCTTCTTCATCTGTAAATATCATCACCAGCGTGATTTAGCTCGAGCCTGGCTGAATAAACCGGTTCCTCACATTATTATTATTATTATTATTATTATTATTATTATTATTATTATTTCACAAATTCTACTGCCACACATTTCGTGATCAATGCCCTGTGGTGGGTTTTCCCATTTCTCTGGGAATAATTATCATCTTTATCATCATCATCTGCTTAGCACTCCAAGGTATACTAGTGATGGCGTGGAGTTACCCGGGATGTCATTTGAAGAAAAATACCAATCTGTTGTCGTTCATATGGGAACCACACGAAGAACTGCTTCAGCAAGTCTTAAAGCTAATGAACGATTCACTGTCGGACGATGAAGTCACGAGGCAAACGGCTCGACAACAAGTCAACCAGCTGGGTGAGCGGCCAGACTTCAACGACTACATGGCTTTTATCTTCACGGAAATGAAATTTCAAAATAAGGCAAACCCAAAAGAAGGCCAGCTTATATTGAAGAAATTTGAGAGCGTACGCCGCGGCGTAGCCCCTCCACGTGTAAGCGTGGATGACCCTGTGAGAGTAGTTGCGGCTGCTCTGGCCTACTTCATCATAAATGACTCGAAGATCAAGCTCACACGATGGATTGATTTGCTTCAGAGGCTCGGTGAGCTTTTAGATTTGCCGGACGAGAGAATCTGCGAGGGCTGTTTAGGGGTACTGCACAAAGTCTGCCGTGACTACTCTAAGGAAACGGGTGTAGTTCTACGCAATGATCATCTCACTGATCTCGTTCCCAAGTGCCTAAAGTTCTTCCGGCACAGCAACCCCCGGCTTCGGTACTGCGCCATCACTTTCATCAGTCTACTATTTATCGATTGTAAACAGGCCGCTGTCGTTCACGCTGACGCATTTGTAACGAACCTGCTGCAGCTGGCATTGGACACAGACTACGAAGTGCAGAAGGCCATGTGTCGTGCTCTGGCACTGCTCCTGGAATATCATATCGACTGCCTCATCCCTCATATGTGCTGCATTGTCGAGTACGTGATGAACAGGATGCAAGACGCGGAAGAAGACGTTGCTGTGGAGGCACGTGCCACACTTTTTTGTCTAGCGAAACCAATCTGCAAGGAGGCACTGACTCCACACTTTTCGAGTCTTGTCCACATTCTCCTTAATGGAACGAAATACTGTGACACTGCCGCCGAACGACTCAAGCAAGTAATACCAGGCACCATTCAAAATCCGGGTTCGATATACAGAGGAAGAGAGAGCATTGACTACGGTCTTGTGTCAGGAACGAAAGTTCCACTTGACAATATTTTGTACGCGCGGAACCTGAGGACCAGCTCAGCAATTGCACTGGGTGCAATATCTACTGTATTCAATGAGGAGCTTCTTACGCTGCTGCGCCCTATTATTAGGCAGATGCTGAAGGACAAGGACTGGGTGATTATGGAATCTGCCATTTATGTTCTCGGGATCATCGCTGAAGGCTGTCATGAAGGAATGGCCCCATACCTACCACACCTGATCCCGTTGTTCTATATCCATTTAAGAAGTCACAGAGCCGCTGTGCGGTCAGCCGCCTGCTGGACACTGAGCCGCTACTGCCCTTGGGTGTTGAGACAACCGCAGCACTTATACTTAAAGCCCTTGCTGGAACAACTGCTGGAGAAGGTACTGGACGAACACGAAATGGTTCAAGAGGTCGCCTGCAATTCCCTTATAAGCGTAGAAGAGTGCGCCGAAACAGAGCTTGTGCCCTACCTCAACTCCATTTTGGACACACTTTACAGCGGGTTCCTGAAGTACAGGCGGAGTCGTTTCTATATGCTGTACAATGTAATAGAGGTTCTGGCAGATTCTGTGCCGTCAGAGATTTGCAGGCGTGAATTCATTCAGTACTTTATTAGACTACTGACTGAGGACCCCATTGGACTGGAAGACAGTCAGATTAACATGTTTCATCTACTAAGGTGTCAGGGCAGCCTGGCTACAGCCCTGAAATCTGACTTCTTGCCCTACCACCTGCCTGTGGTGAACAGATGCATCCGCACTGCGCACTTAGGAAGACAAGGGTTTTTAGCCAAAGCAATTCATCTGCAATATTCAATCACACCGGAAAAACCACTGACGATTGCTGCTTTGAAAACTTTAACCAAGCTGGCGGAATGTCTTGGACGTGACATGGAACCCTCTCTTTCTAGTACCAGCATCATCGAGCTGATGGTCGACTGCGCAAAGGACTCGGTGCCTGAAGTGCGCCAGGCGACGTTTAACTTCCTCGGAACGTTTGTCAAAATCTGCCCCAAGAGCCTTTCGACAAAAGCAAGTTTTCTCGTTCCATTGCTCATTGAGAACTTGAATAACCAGATAACACCACTCTGCAACAGCGCGACCTATGCGATCAGGGAGCTCGCCATGACATTGAGAGAGGATGTCAAACCATACGTTTACGAGATACGCGCGAAACTTACAACAATCATCAACAGCCCCCGCACATCGGAATCTTTGCGGGTGGACACGACTGTCGCAATTGGATACCTTGGTCACATTTTCCCATACGAAATGGCACCCGCGTTGTGTCGGTTCATAGTTCCATGCTGTTCAGCAATTGGGAAAATTCCTGACGGTGAAGTGAAGAACTTTGCGTTACGTGGTATTTTTACATTGGTAAGCGAGAATCCCGCTGGAGCTTTGCGGTACTTTATTACCCTCCTAGATACCATAATTGCCTGGATTATTCGCCAGGATGACTTGAAGCAAGCCATGAATAACCTCATCCGCCTCTACAAGCAGTGCTATGGGACCACGCGACTCCACCATTTCTACGAAAAGCTACCGCCTGCCCTCCGTCAACGAGTGTTGGGCACCTACGACTTCTGAGGGTCCCACGAAAGTTCTGCGCAAACATGATAAGAAACGTGCCACTGATGAACTTCTGTTTTTTCTTCACGCAAGCAAGCCACTGCCGTTCCGGAGAGATAGCATAGTTCCGAGGACTGCTGTTTTTGCACAAGCAGCAAGAGAGTCGCTGCTGTTTTGTACCAGCATGAATAAATGAAACGTTTTAAATGCGAAGGATTTCTTAGCAAACTTCGGCGACATTGACCATATCTATCTATCTATCTATCTATCTATCTATCTATCTATCTATCTATCTATCTATCTATCTATCTATCTATCTGTCTGTCTGTCTGTCTGTCTGTCTGTCTGTCTGTCTGTCTGTCTGTCTGTCTGTCTGTCTGTCTGTCTGTCTGTCTGTCTGTCTGTCTGTCTGTCTGTCTGTCTGTCTGTCCGTCCGTCCGTCCGTCCGTCCGTCCGTCCGTCCGTCCGTCCGTCCGTCCGTCCGTCCGTCCGTCCGTCCGTCCGTCCGTCTATCTATCTATCTATCTATCTATCTATCTATCTATCTATCTATCTATCTATCTATCTATCCACATACGGCATTTAGCTCTCCTGGCCGTTTCGATGATGGGATCTATACCAAAACTGTGGCATAACATGACTGTAGGACGAGCATAGGTGACTACATGAAAATCATGATATATGTCAGAAATGTAAGGATTTACACGTCCTGGTCTTCCTGCTCTTGCGGTGTTATCGCTCACATGACATATTGCAGAACTGGTATGGTATGACATAACTGCATGGCGAACATAAGTGACTGGTCCTAACGTGAAAATCATGACATGCGTGTCGTGTAAAACATGAATACATGCTACGCTCATAGTCCGCTAGCGGCTGTTTTGCTAACTTCACATATCAAATTTCATGTTACGTGATGTGAATGAATGACGAATGTATATGATTGGTGCAAACATGATATTCATGGCATACGTGTCATGTAAAACATAACTAAATGCTACGCTCATAGCGCGCTCGCGGTCGTTTCGCTAGCTTCGAATACTCCAAATTCGGTATCACGTGACGTGGACAACGAAGGTGAATCACACGTCGAACATGATAATCATGATATGTGTGTCATGTAAAACATAACCACATGCTACACTCATAGCGCACTCGCGGCCATTTCGCTAGCTTCACAAATACCAAAGTTGTTATTACATAACGTGAATGAGCGATGAAGGTAAATCACACGCGCAAAAATCGTAATCATCACATAGAACGACATTATTTGAATGTAAACATTACACAGATCGATTGATTGATAAGCGGGGTTTAACCTCCCAAAACCACTGTATGGTTATGAGAGACGCCGTAGGGGAGGTCTCCGGAAATTTTGACCACCTGGGGTTCTTTAACGTGAAACACTCGACAGATGTCTGTCTGGTTGGGTATGTAAACAGGGAAACCATTTAAACTCCAACCAAAAAATACGTGAGGATGCATTTACGCATCTTCACGTATACCTTTCGGTTGGGGTTTAAATAGTTTCCCGCGGCATTATTTACATGCCTACCACTGCAGATGATGGCATTGCAAACGTTAATGATGCCATCGTCATGCGTCTATGAACAATATACTTTTCTTTTATGCGTTGATGGGGTTTATTATATATACCCCGCACCTTTGCTAGTCTTTCAGCCTCACGACTTTCGGTGATCTTTTTTTTTTTGCTTGCATTTTCCAGCCAGTTCGCGGCAGTCATTCTAACCCTGCGCAAGGTTGCATAAAAGCTGCGAGCATATGCTGCTGCAGTATATTCACTTTAATATTAGCTATATTCCATTAGGAATGGAAGATTAAATTACACTGTTAACATTTTATTCGATGGTTTCTCAATGCATAATTTTGAAAGAAAGCTGCCCATTGCACAAGTTGGTACCAGTGTTGTGGAGTTGCCACTCCTGAATTGGAATGATTCTAGAATCATTCCACATTTTCGCGTCCGTGAAATGGAATGGGAATGTAATGGGGACGATGCTTCCAGTAATTTAATGGGAATAGAATTGCACCTATTTCCGGATTTACAGCACGATTTTGTCTATACGTGCTGTTTTTTAAAATCAGGAAATCAGACCCTCAAATTTAACAATAAAGCAGAATCGTTAAAATGACTTCGCTGATTACAAGCATGGTGCATACATAAACAACGAGCCTACTACAACTGTACCTCCGAAGTTCGCCTCCATCGTTTGCGTAACTGCGGTCGAGCAGAACTGCGGAAAAATCTCACTTTCGCTGTGTTCTAGAGTGGAGGAAGGCCGGTGTGACGAGGCCGCCACGACGCCAGTTGGCGGCTAGAGAAGCACTACCATAATGCCCTACCTCACAGGCTCTTGCGTCCAGTGGTTCATGTTCGAGCAGCTCATGTTTGTGAACCAAAACTCATATAGTTAGTTAGGGTAAAAGAAAATTGTTTTATTTTACCTTTTTTTTGCAGAAACAACCATTCAAAGAGCCATCCTTTGCAACACAGGTTTTAACAACTAAACGGCGAAGCGCCCATTTACCTTCTAACATTTTGTTGAAAAAATTTCGATGAATAAAACCAAAATAAAGCTTACCTGAGAAAAGGTGCTTACCTGAGAAGGAAACACCAGACACTAAGCGGAAAAGTAGAATGAACCTAATTTATAAAGGCAAGGGGGAAAAAAGGTTAACGTTTGCTAGTATGTGGACCGCTAACCATTACAGCGGTGCTATACAAGTTGGCGATGCAGGCAGTAAAATGAAAATAGAAACGTGGGCAGAGCAAAATAATATTTTGGGAGAACTTCAAAATAGATTCCGAATCGACAGGCGGTTAGACAATAACCTGTTTGTTCTTATACTCAGTGTATAGTAATATCTAAAATAGAAAAGAGGCCCTTATACGTAGCTTATCTGGACATCATTGCGGCGTATGACAACGTTAATCAAAATTTTGTGGGACATATTGAAGAAAGTGGGCATAGACGACGACTGTATACAGCTGTTGAGAGACATATACTGAGAAAATACAGTTTGCAAAGAATGGGAAAGAATAAGTAGCAATGACAGCGTTGAAATTAACAAGGGGCTGAGACAGGAATGTCTATATTGTCCCCGCCATTATTCATGCTGTACATGGCGAGGATGGAAAAAGTGCTGAAAGGTAGCAACATTCTGTTTATTCTGTCACACAAACAGGCTGGCGCGACGATGGTTGAGCAAAAACTTTCAGGTCTATTCTACACAGACAATATTGTCCTATTTGCAGACAGTCAAGGCAATATACAGCGGCCGGTAGATACAGGTGGAAGGAAAGGCGAGGCTCTAGGACTAGGATTTAGTGCAACAAAATATGGATTGATGATATTCAATGATCACAAGACCCAGCGGTCTCAATACAGAGCCGAGAAATACCGAGAGGAAGCGAGTAATTACCTTGGAGTATGTGTAAATAAGGGAGCTAGATATATGGAGGTTCAGGAAAAAATATCAGCAGCAAATAGAAAGAGGAATGCTGCAATAATGAAACACAGAGCGTTATGGGGGTATAATAGGTACGAAGCTAGTGCTTCGAGCTAGGTCTGTGGAAAGGCGTAATGCTTCCAAGGCTTACATTTGGGAACCAAGTGGTGTGTGCATGAAGTCAGAGGTACAATCAGAAATGGATGTAAATCAAAGGACTGTGGGATGCCTCGCGTTGGGCACTCAAGGGAAGACGACGAATGAGGCTTTGAAGGGGGATACTGTATGGACAGGCTTTGAAGTAAGGGAAGCTCAGAGCAAAATGAGCTTTGAAGAGAGGCTTAGGAAAATGAAGGAGAGTAGATGGGCAGGGAAGGTGTTCAGGTATTCATATAGGAAGAACGTGGACACAAAGTAGAGAAAAAGAACTAGAAGGCTCACCAGTAGACATAAAGCTGGAAGTGTGGGCGACATGGCAGCAAAAAGCATTAAGCGAAAAGTCAGAAAGGCCGAGAGGATTGATTGGATGACAGCGATAGAGAAGAAGCCGGCTCTCAGTAACTACCGAAGGAGAAAAAAGAAATAAGGCGGGAGAGGTTTTACAATAATTCAAGGAAAAGCACTTTGCTGTTTGAAGCGAGGTCGGGTTGCCTTAGAATGTGTAGCCATAAAGAGATATTCAATAAAGGAGAAGAACAATGTACATGCTGTGGGGAAGCTACGGAAACGGTGGATAATTTTTTTATTGAATGCGGTGATATTCACCCAGGTATACGTGCAGGTGCAAGCCTACATGAGGCTTTGGGTTTCAGGGACAAACATATAAAGCTGAACACGTCCGTGATAGAAGCAAGTGAAAGACAGAGTATTGGTGGCAGAAAAGTAGAGATATAGGACATAAATAGTGGGAAAATGAGGTCATTCTGGCTGAAGAAGCAAAGGGATAGAACGCAAATTTACATTTTCTTTTGTTATAATAAGATCGATTTAATGGAAGTAGATAAGGCATCAGGCTAACATAAGAAAGATTTAGTTTTTTTCTTCTGGCGAGCCTGGTGGCACACATGTCACCGCCCTGTTATAAAAGGGACACTCATAGCATCCATACATCCTGCTCATGTGCAGTAATTTTCCCGCAAATAGTCGATTTTCAGCGCGCTCGCCGGTATACAAAAGGAGAAAGGGTTTAAAGCATGCGGCAAATGCCTCTAACTCTATTCGTACTTTCCGGATTCTAAAAATTTCTGCGGCGGTCGATTTGCGAGGCAATAGGCTCTTTTAATGAAGCCACAGCACGATTGCTTAGAAAAGTGTTGCAGGTCCTCTTTAAGTGCTATACAAGATTACACTGTGTCTTGAAACTACTCATGTCATCTAATGACATGAGAAGTCCTTACATCATCATGACATCATCAAGTCAAGACATCATCATCATGTCAGCAAGCTGGATGAGCAGGTAATAATACTCCTCATATTTTAGCAGCTGAAGCTTTTCAAATTCTGCCGGTAATTAATACTAATAGCTTCCTTGAGTCAAGTAATATTAA